CGCAACCGAGATTTAGTGTTTAAAATGGCAGCGAAGACGATGACAAGATAACAACAGTACTGCACAATGAGAGAGAGAGAGAGAGAGATAAATAATAACGACAACTCAAGTTTAAATATTATAAAGTATTTGAATGTATGCAACGATGAAAGAAATCTATTGATGATACATAAGCGTCTGAAACAGAACTGAAGAATAAGACCGAGTGCACGTAATTTACAAAACTAGTTGCATCGGGGATAGAGCGACCAATGAAAATACATTCTCAGATCTAGTATGGGAAAATTAGCTTCATACACTAGAGATCTGATCTACACACACACGTACGTACGTACGAACGTACGCGCACACACAGGTACTCATGAACACACGTACGTACGCACCAGTAAGCCAACAAACTTGTAATTAGGCGGGAGGAAGGCGAAATGCATACATAAATAAAAACCGGATACTATTGCACATATTATTTATATTATTCTATTCGAGAACATATCGATTGTAGAATATTCTGTGTACATGTAAAAACTAATTATTATTACTATAATAACTAGTATACTATAGTATTAATGACCATTAATATAAAACTATGAGTTGTGTGTATCTATTAATGTAAATCATTTAAAAAATCAAAATTTTTTCATCATAACATAAAGTTCGAATATTTTAATTTACGGGTCATATTGATTGTGCAAATCAAAGAAATACGTTGTGTTATAAAATCGGGTCCACGCGTTAAAAATTCGCCTATTGTGTGAAAGGCCTTAAATGTTGTTTCAGTGGATCTAAACATTTAATGAGTAAATTAATGATTAATTAACGATTCATCTGTAATGAGTAAGGCTCGGATGTTTATGAAATTGCATATTTTTTTCAATTCATCCAATTATTATATATTTTATAATACAATATTCTTTATTACGGAATCAACTCCATTTACAATAATATTTATAATAACAGTATAACATACTAATTAATAAATAATATATGATACAATAATTTAAAAATAACATGAGTTATAATCTTTTTGATTTTAAATATAATTTAAGCTTTGCAACATTAAAAAAAATAAAAAATCAATATCACTCACATTACAAAAATATTTATGAAAATAATAAAAAAAAGAAAGAAAATAAAAGTATAATATAATAATTAATAAAAAACATATTCACAATAATTTACAATTTTAAAAATAACAAGAATTATATAAGATTTGAATTATTTTCTTTTTAATTTTAAATGTGATTTGAGTGTATCGACATTAACATGATTAAGAATATCAATTTCAGTTTTATTACCTGCTACCATTAAAATGTTTATTGGGGAGGTTTCTAATATATATATTTTTTAATATTTTATAAGTAAAAAAATCCTTAATTCTCGTATTAATTGAGGGTATTTTAAACTGTACACGCTCGACAAGGAATGGATAATTAATCATACCAGTAAAAAGTTTAAATAAAAATTTTATATTTTGAGTGCTCCTTCTGTATTGTAAATAATCCATAATAAGAAAAAACAGAAACTCCATTATAAGCAGAATGGGGTTCTCTTTGGATATGGTATTTATAGAATAGATACCTTAAAAAGTTATTTTGAATTGATTCTACATCATGAGTATGAGAAATAGAGTTATTCATCCAAATAAATGAAGCGTATTCAATGCGTGAATTAATAATTAGTATATCATCACACTTATTGAGTTTTAAACATATTATTAGTCACAAAGTGAAAAATATCAAACTAAAAGTCGACAATAAATTATATGTTACAAAAATGACACGAAAAAATAGATAAGTACATAAAAAACTCACTTAGAATTTTTTTTTTTTTTGTATGACTTCCTATTACTAATTTGATAAAACAGTATACATTTGAAATAAGATAATAACATGAAAATTCATGTTTTTACAATTGTTTCCAATAATCAGAATTATTTTCTACATACTGGTTGTACAGAAATAAAAATGTATTTTTATTGTATTGAAAAAAAAATCATTTGTTTCTCTCCAAACGAATACTATGGAATTATAATCGTACATTTAAAAAAACCAAATCATATACATCTAATTAAAATAAGGTCATGATCGTGATAACTACAGGAGACTAATGTATCTAAAACCGCAGGTAAAGGCAAATGAACGAACAAGACAAGGTGTCAGCCGTGAAGCCACATGGACCGAAACTCAAACCCGCATTAAATTATTGATCTTGTTATAACATTGGTTATGGGCTCTATTATTATTAATTTATTTACGAAAAAGAAATACCATAAAATATGGTAGTCAGGCGGAAGCGTTGCGCAAGCAGGTATCGCTAGTATCGCTTGGTTGTCGATTAATCACAAAAAAAAATGGTTATGGTAATGTCAATATTCTTCTGAAATGCAAATTGTACAATACAATATTATTTATTATTTATATTATTATTTATTTATTGAGATATACGCCCGAACGCACTAAATACAGGAAGTAACTATTTATAAATAACATAAAATATTACAAATATAACAATGTATATTATATTATCGTTGTAATGATTAATCATCAAGTTTACGTACGTATCGGATAAAAGGTTATCTGTACATTTCAAAAGAAAATATACTACTTACTGACAAATGTACGAGTTACCTGCTGAAAAACGTACTCGTACGTATTTTTAAGCCGAAAATTAATCACTACCTAATAATTATTATTATCAATAAATGCGTTAAATGTGTGTTTATGGCGATTATAATCAATAATTAAATACACGAAATCTCAGAGCATTAGTAAAACAATCATTAAAAGGAGTGTAAAGTTCACTTAGCATGTATTAACTATATTTGATATGTAATTTAATATTCCTGTTCACAGTTACTATTATTTACAATGAATTATCTTTCATTATTATTATACTACGAACAATCTACATATCTCAGTATATAGGCTGTTAATATTTTATATTTATGTGCGATCAAAATAATCATTGACACAAAGGACAAAAAACAGGACGGTCATCTTTTGCGCATCGTCTGTCCACTTGCGCCAAAATTACGTATTTCGTTCGCAGTGCCATACTATTTATCGTTTGTGCATCGGCGTTTACCTGTGCGAAATGATCATACGTCATTAAAATACACTTGAGATAGGGGCGGCTCCAGAACCTTGGTTAGGGAGGGGGCAAAGTTATAATTTTAAAAAATCTTATAATAAAAAGAAAACAACGATTTTTACAACACAAATTAAAGTTGTCTATTTTTAAAATTGGCAAAAATATCAATAATATGATCTATTTGATCTAGAATATCTACTTTAATATATACATTAATTATACATAATGCTGATAGTCTATCTTCAGTCATCATTGAATGAAGCCAGGTTTTTAGTCTCTAAAGTGTGGAGAAACTTCTTTCAACCGTCATACCTCTATGGCTCTATCTATATACTTGTGCGTGTCGTATGGTAGTACATATTATAATATACATTTTTTATAAATACGGTACGAGTTTGGGAGAGGGCCACGGCCCCTATCCCCCTCCCTGACTTGAGAATAGATACTAACTAGTTTTTAAATTATTTATGAATATATATGAAGTATTTTTTTTTTATTTATTATGTTACTATATTATTTCTACCAGTAAATACTTAAGGTACGCCGAAACATGACTTTCCTGGTACTGAATACCACTGTTTTAATACAAATATGGGTCTAAAATAGAGGCAGAATATATTAGTTTCTACTCAAAAATAAATAACATTAATACTTATGTTTTTTTTTTGATGCTGAAGTCCTTACTTCTGACAAATCTCCACTAGACAGATTCAAATACATCACAATTTGTTCATCGCACTATACCTATATATTTTGTTATTATGCAAACAAACTAATCTCATAAGTTATTATGTAATATTTTTCACATTATTGTATATGTTATTTAATTTTCGGGCTGTAATAGCCTTGTACTGAAAGTTTTATATATATACTCGTATATGTACAAAAAAAAAATAAAAATATTTATTTTTATAATTAAAATTTATATTTTACTTACTTCAAATCATATCATATCATTTAATTTTATGTTCGCAGGACGACCATTATTAAGAATGAGAACTTCAGTCGTAAGATTCCATTTATATTTTTTCAATCGTATATTATTTAAAGACACAGGATAAAAACTGTCAAACGTGTAATGTGTTTTTGTACAACAGAATGATTTACAGGTACAATAAAAGTAAACTAAGTGAGAAAATAAATTCATGGTTTCTTAGTAATGAAATGTGAATCCATACAGGTTACCAGCAACCATTTGTACGGACAAATATGCCCAAATGCATACAATGATAAATGGTCACATGGGTATAATATGCACCCTAGTCTAACCGAGTCACTTAAAAAAAAAAAAAAAAAACCGGTACATAATAATTCGATTCTAACAAATAAAAAAAATCTTTTCCACCTTTAGTATTCTTTTATTGTTTTTTTATCTTTTACTGTATAATATTCCAACTAATTTAAAATAAAATATTTCATATTATATTATAGCGTTTAGTAATTCTGAAAAAATATAACATATATTATATAACCTACGGTTTATTTCAATAATGTCTTGTGTAAAGACAGGTCATATCCAAAATTATAAATTAGTGGTAAACCTAATTTAAACCATTGAAGGTGTTGCTTATAATGCAAGTATATTCATATTCTTCTTCAATATATAATATAAAAGGAAATCTTTGATCGAGTTCACGATTTTCTCAGTAACTACGAATTCTATTTCGGTTTTTGGAAAGTTTAAGTATAGAATTTTGTGATGTCAGGAGCGGCTCGTCAGGAGAAACTTTGATATTGCGTCTCTCCTTAAACAAAAAACAGCTACTTATAAATAATAATAATTTAAAAATGTAAAGAAATAATTTTATTTTTATTGAAAATACATATGTTATAGCGTTTTCTATATTTATTATTACAAATTTAAGACCACAAAATATAAAACCTATAAAAAGTTATTTCAATGGAAACACTATTTTAGTAATTTCAACGACGGTCGCCGTTTCAATGAATAGTAGTAACATGTAAGTTACAGTAACATATAATGGTTTGGCTTGTTGGACGGAGGGGGCCGGGGAGAATAATCCACGTATTATAGACGCTATTAAAACGGGGTTCACAATTATTTAGCTCCATTTCCTTGGCATCTTCACTTTGGAATTTCAAAAATCAAATTAACGTCCAGAACCACCAACACCCACAAGTAAACTGTTTACACGGGGTATTCATAGTATATGGATATAATAACAAGATGGAGTAAACAATCTTTGAAAAATACTAAATCCATTGAAGATCCTTGTAGTACCTCGTTCATATGATTCATGTACATTAACATTCTAGCTTCTAATACTTCGAAACTAAAAATTTAAGTATTCAAAAATGTAAATATTACATAGTTTAACAGTGTAGTATAATTTAATGTTTATCAATCACTTTTTATCAACTAATCCCTATTTAAACTATTACTTATCTAATTCGAGATTTCTATATTTACAGAAATGTTGATACAATAAATGTATTTTAAAATAATTTTGTTAATATTGAATTCTTACTTGTCAATATGTTCATATATTTTAGGATTTTCAGATACATAATCATCAGGCTCATCACCGGTTTCTTCGGCTACGTCACGCACAAACAAATTTGCACTCATATCATCTGAGAATAATTGAAATATTTCTGGTATCAGAAAATCTCCTGAGCTGGTTTTGACAGTTTCCGTGAACCAATTTTTGTCCATAGTACTCGCGAGTTTATCGAATATCACCCGCTGTATTTCATGACACCACAATTTTAATAAGGTAGCATTATTTGAACACTCTTCTGTACATATCTGTAACATTCCTTCCCAAATTCGTAATAAATCTTTTAAGTTGAAAACGTAATGGAAATTAGCTGGAGTTGGTAATAATTTTTGTTTGGTCTTCTGCCACACAATTCGAGTTAATGTCACCAACGATGTTACCAACTACAAATTTCTTGTACGAAAAAAATTATAAATTATATACTTTCCCGCATAATTTAAATTTTTTTTTTTTTCTTAATTCATAAAATTATTGATTTTTAATATACATTTCCCCGTTTTTTTTTTTTTTTTGGGGGGGGGTTAACCACCCACTCGGGTTATTTATTTTATAATTAGGGCTCGGATTTAAATGCTCTAAAAAGATAAATAAATGCTGTATCAAAAAATACATTTATGACCTAAAAAGTCTAAAAAATATCCTAATAATATTAGAAAAATGCCTATTCAAAAGATTAATTTAAACATTAATTTACATTAAAATATTTTATTTTTGTATTAATTATTTTAAAAATTCAGAAAAAAAATGTTTGATTAACATGTGAAATTATAAAAATGTATATAAAATTATATATAATATATAAATATATATATAAATATATAAAAAAAATTGTAAAAATTTTAATTTGACATAACGTATCTATAAAATATATAGACTCTGTTAATGCTAATTAATGAATTAATGTTAATACTATGTTTATGTTTCAATGAAGTCAATTTTTTTAGTCGTAATTCCAGAAATAGATCAAAAAATGTCTTAAAAAATAAAAAAATGCATTAAAAGCATTAAAAATTATAGTTAAAAACTAAATTAATTTAGACTTAATTAAGACTAATAACTCAAAAAAAATCAACTATATTCCAAATATGCCAATATACACAAAACATACAAATACATGCTATATTAAACTTCAGATTTTATTATCATTGTTATGAAACGGATTAGCATATTTTCCGATGTAGCAAAGAAAACATGCAAATGCATGAACTTACGTGACCTGATTATAAGTATTTAATATGTTATTAAAAATATAAGTTAAACAATAGTATTTTAACTCTTAAATTTATTATTTAATCAAGAAAATAGTACACTGTACAGATAATAAGGTGTGCAACAGATGGTAGCTCTAGAGAGAAGAAAATTTTTTTCGATGTTTTTAAACCTCGATGTTCTTAAACATCGACCGTTTTTCATCAATACAACGAACACATCGATATTTTAAAAATCGATGTATAGATTCATCGAATATTGATGTTCAAACAATTTTTCCCGTCCCTAGTGTCCAATGTGGGGTCACTTATCGAATGAAATAAAAATTATTGAAGAAATGCGGCGTGCAATGACTAAAATAGATATTTAACAATTATTGTTGATTATTAGTGCGATAGTGCGGCACGGCATCGTCGTGAACCAGCCGCGATAATCACAGATTTAAACAATAAAATAAATCATGGCTTTCTTCCATAACAATATAAAATATTAATTTTGAATATTAACTGTTGTTGATATTTCACTTTTCGGCTGAAGACTAAGCAAAAATAACCATATGGTTCATAACTAATAAATAATAATTTATACTAAACACTATTCTTACCTAAAGTACTAGTACAGTTGTACATTCTGTGGTTGTACCTTTTTAAAAAATTTTAGAGACAACAGTTTTTCAATGAAAAAAACGATATAAAATTATACATTTATAATTGAAGTCATGAGTTTTTCCAACAAATTACGTAGAATCTCTGAACTTTGATTATGTGTACCTATTCTAAATGCGCAGTTTAAATAATATGTGTGAATTTCTAATATTTTATTTAAAACTAATATAATTTTATTTTATTGGAGGAAGTTAAAACCCCAAAATCGGCCCTGGTTTGTCACTGTATAGGACGTATTACGATACGGCCCTGGATATTTCAACGAATTTCCATCAAACGATTGTAATAATTTAATTAAACATTTAATGGTTTCGAAATAGTTATTTTAGGTTCGTACTTGAAATTTTCCAAAATTTAAAATTACTCTGTGTGTTGTTGCCAAGTAGAAAACATTATAAGCAGTTCCGCACATATATACAGGTGCAATCGAAAATCAGAAACTAATAAATATTATTCTTTAAATAAAATAAGTTCAAGATAACAATTTTGTATACTTTATGTCTCGTTTACACAGTGGTAATAAAACGGATTAGGTACCTACATTGTAAAACATTACATTGACGGGAACAGAAATTCGTACGGTTAACACTTACTATATTATATACAGCAACCGATTTGATCGCAGTCAACGTTTTGTCCAACACAAATCATGAGCCCCGATTGCACGCAATTGCACTAAATGTTCCATTTAATCGCACGAAGCATCCAATTAAATCGAAAAACTTTGCTACAAATAGAGTACACGCACCGAGCGCAATATCACTTAACGGTTTCACATCGATAGAAAAAAAAAGAAAAAATGAACAACTTAGAATTACGAGTCGTACGCGTCCGCGTTAGGGAAATCGCATGTGACAATGATGTTAAAAATATCGCCAACATTGCGTTATTAGCCGACGGTATCTATGATCGGGGAGGATTACGGACGAAATTACGTCATCGCCAGTGAGTCGCTGTCGTTACGGAAATGGGTTTTCCGCGCGTACGTGATCGTACGCCGACGTCGCGTCGGCGGTGCTGATAAGGAAAACCGCACGTTTTCCGTTCTCGACCGCACTGCCGCGCGGGTGCAGTTTCATACGGTTTTCGCAGTCAGCACTTCCCGTCGATCGCTGATCGTCTCGTCCGTCGCCGCGCCCGTACACGGTCGCCATGTTTTACCTGGAGGACTTCATGGAAAGTGAGTGGTTCCCTCCCGCCGGGCGGGGGTCGCGTTCGCTCGTCGTCGCCCCGGGATCGGCAACGGCGGGCGGTGGTGGAGCCCGCTCGCGGACGTGTTTGATAGTATTTTTTTTTTCAATTTTTTTTTTTTCTTCTGATTTTCTTTTTCCATTATCGCTTTTTCCGCCCGTTGCCAGAGCTCGAACTGATGCCACGCGAGATGCAAAACCGCTTGAAGGAAATACGGGACCTGGACGCGCAAGTCGAAGGTGAGTCTACGCGCGCGACCGCAGTCGACACGTGTGACGCGAACGGCAAGAACTGTCATTGTGATCCCCGACAAACGGATCACGATTGGACGTTCTTCACGTTCAGCACTCCGAACCCAAAATACATTTGCGTTTCCCGAATTTCTCATTATTTAATTTCGATTTTCAAAGTTACGTTAATTGCTTTGTACATCGCCACTGATCGACGAACATAATTATTTTCTCGATTAAGTCTTTTTTTTTTTTACCACCCTTTCACCATTGCGTCTCACACATTTAATGGATTCAAGGCTATGAAATGTTGTTTACCTTTACTCTTACATTATTATTATTATTATGATGTACATTATTATTACTATTTTTGTTTATTATTCAACTTTATTTCTGAATTTACTACCTTCAGTCAGTACTAGATCTAGAATGGGGGCAAGTGAGTATGCTCTCCCCAGGCGCTCTTAAGTTTATGAAAAATAAAAAAAGTCTTGTACACATCCTGTACCTTCAATTTTGTAAGGGTGCTGCATTTTTAATATCCCAGGGCGGAAAATTTCCATAATCAAGCACTGCATATAATATATATATAATGTATATCAATAATATACCTTATTGGCCTCTCTGATAATATTACTACTATGTAATTCAACAATTTCACAATTTATATAAATGATCCTTATTTAAAATTAATTAATGTTCTTCATACACATATTTATTACAAATAAATTAAATATCAGAAAAAGAAATTTTTCATTGTTTTTTTTTTTTAATTTACTAGAGGTATGAAAAATTATTGTTTGATGGTTAAATGATTTCATGACATAATTTATTAATTTTTAAAGTTAATAGTTTTTTTTTGTTAGTAATTTCAATGTCTTGTTTATAATTTTGAAATTTATAATTGGTTTTGCATGTTTGTTATATTCCTAATATTTCTTTGTCCCTGTATCTTTGAATGTTATATAATAATAGCAACATATAATACCAAATAGTCAACCAATTAAATAGAAAATTAAAGTTAGAAGAGATTATTAAATTGAAAATCATTGTTTATTTTTTTTATATATGATGAATAAAAAGAAAACTTTTTTTGTATATATTTATTATATTGTTGCGTGCCGTCAGCTCAACCGTAAAGGTGGTGTTGATTTAGGAATGTTCCAAATAAAAATGCTCAAATTAAGTTAGACTGTTTTATTAAAATTTCTCTAAGTACAATTAATTAATTCAACAAATGGTCTGGCGTGGAGGTGCTCGCTAAAACAAGTATAAAACACATCTAAAGAGTGGTCTGTTCGGACTACCTTATATACCCCGTTCTTATGGAATAATTGACCCGGATATAGTTAATATTCTAGATCCCCTTCGAACAGTTTCAACTATCTAATTTTATAATACCTTACATAGCATGTTGTTTATGTTGTCTCGGCTTTTTGCAACAACCACTTAGTTTTATGTGTCTTCTCTGTAAATCTGAATATTCACAAGGACATATATATTATATTACATGCTGTATTATATAATGCTCTCATACAATAACCTACATTATATATATCTGTAAGAGTCGTATACATACCACGTATGTATGTCCGTAACACCTCCGCGCAAAAAGCAAGATTTCTGTCCTCAGATAAAAATCTTTTACAATCTGCCCTAATTTTCATTTTACATGATATTATATAGTTTACATTATTTTAAGATTAATACAGTTTTTTTTTTAAATTTCACATAACATTTGAAATATAACATTTGAAATTTTTACATAATTATTAGTTTTCTTATAATTTCTATAAAACATTTTATATAATATGATTGACAATATAAATATATTTTTTTTATATGATAATTGAGTACAATATGAAGTTAACCTTACTAGTTATTTGAATATAATATTAAATAATATACTATAAAATAGTTTACATTCTTATTATGAATATAATATATTTGTTAATTATACATTTATAATATGTTAATTTCAATTTCTTATGTTAAGTTTACAAAATTTGTTTTATTGAATACTTAGTATTCTTAAGTACTACCCATTCCTTTTTAATAATAAAATACACATTTTTTTTTCTACACTTTGGTCAGCTATCGGTATCTCTATTACTGTTTCTGATCTCGGTTTTAATAATATTTCATTTATTTTATTTGTTTCATCATTCGTAATTTTATTTCCTAACACTAATGTATCATTGTATACGTTAACTGTTCCACTATTTTTCTTTAAAAATTTATTACCTAAAATACCGTCCTGTAATGCAGGAAAATTTGGATATACTACATCAAAATCCACTTGATAAATTTTATTACCTATTTGGACTGAAATTGTTATTTTTCCTACGGTTTCAACTAATTGATCATTTATGCCTTTTAATATTAATGTTTGAGTTTGATCTACTATTAATTCCCCTTTTAAACAATTTATTTTTATTAAACTTATTTCACTCCCAGTATCTACTAATAATTTTAAAGTATTAGTTTTACTAGCAGTGGAATAACATTCTATGTGTTTATTTTTTATATCTGAGATGATGTGGAAGCAATGTTGATAGGTGGTTCCGCGGCTATTATCTGGTTTATCGAATGAGTTCCGCGAACTACATTCGATCCCGATCCGTTTCCCGAATTATTTTGATTACTTTCATTATTACGTTTGTTTCTATTTTGTTTTGTGAAACATTCACTTTCGATATGCCCGCTTTTCTTACAGAAATTACAAGTTTTTATTCTAGAATTATGATTAGTAACCGGTCGCGTGAAATTATTTCTATTTGGCGGTCTATTATTATAGCTGTTATTTGATTTAACTCGACATTCACTTGCTAAATGATTTGCCCGATTGCATAAAAACAACGTTTAATATTTTTATTATTATTTATTCCTACCATGCTATTATTATTATTTTGATATGAATTTTGTTTATTGTAACGTTTGTAATTATTATTATTTTTATTTTTATTTAATCTTTCATATGTTTCTTTTTCTGTTTTATATTCTAACTCTTCATTTTTGGCGATTTGTTTTGCTAATTCAAGTGTGTCTGGATTTCTAGCTTTAACTATTAATTTTATTGATTTAATTAATCCGGTAATATACGCTGTTAAAGTTAAATCTCTAAAAGTATCACAAATTGGTTGTATATCTGATTTTTGTTTCCCTATTTTACTTGCATTGCATAATTTAAAATATAAGTTTTCTACTCTTTTATTATAGTCACTAATGCTTTCATTATATTTTTGTTTAACCGAATTTAACTCTACTTGCAGCGATGATGCTGTGTGTTGAGCTTTGAAGGAATCTGTTAAATATTTTTTTACGTATGTCCACTTGCTTACATCTCTATATTTTATTAATTGCGATACTTTCCCTTTTATTCTAGTGATAATATATTTTATTAAAAATGATACATGTTTTTCCTCTACCGCGCTTACCGCTAAATCACATGCATTTATAAAATTATAAATATACTCCTCTGTTTTACATTTTGGTACATTTTTATTGCTGCTTCTAGCGAGGAATTTGTTTTATTAATTATTTCCTTTGAGTCTGTCATTATTTCTCTAGGTTTTCTTTCAAAAGTTAATTTTTTATGTTCAATATCTAATTGACTTCTAGTTCCTATTCTTTCTTTTGAGTTTATTTCTTTATCTATATTTTTCAATGCTTTATCTAACAATTTTTTATTCTCTTTTAATTTTTCTTTCGATGGAGTAGCTACTTCCGAAGGAGACGGTGTTTCCCTATCACTATCTCTATTCATATAAATCTTTTATTTCAATTATTCCCATATATTTTCTCATATAATATTCTCAATATTTTATTCCCATTTATTATTATTCTCTTTATAACTCAATATTTTATTTTCATTTATTATTTTCTTTAATTCAATACTACGAGGGAGATACTCTTTTAATTTTCAATTATAATTCTCTTTTAATTATTTATTCTTTTATACTCATTCAATTCAAATATTATTTATTTCTTTTATACACAAGGCGGCGTGTGACGTTCCAATATTTTCAATAGTACTTTTAAACTATAAACCTCCTTATTTTTATAAATCTCTATTAATCTTATATATTCTCAATAACATTTTAAATTCAATAATTCTCAATAACTCAACTATGCACTCTTCACTTAAAATTACAATAGATTAGCTACTTCCAAGGGAGATGGTTTTATTTATGTCAAGTCCTACTGTATTAACATATACTTTATTAATAAATTAAAAAAAATTATATTATTATTTTTATATTTATTATATATTTTTATTCTCTTTATTTCATTTATTTCAATTTTTCACAATTTCTCACATATATTCTTATTATTATCTCAGTTAAAAGTCATTCTTATATTAACTAAATACAATTTTAATTAATGCCTACACTAAAGCGGCGTTGGATGTTCCCGATATTTTCTTTTTGTTGATTTGACTGCTCCACAAAGGTTCTGACCCTGGCGTTTAGCCTCGGACACCCTTTTCATTAGATATGAAATTATATTTTTGCCCCCCCCCCCTAATACATTTCCACGTTACGCCTATGCATATATTTATATACCAAATAAATATTATATTATTAATTTTAAAAGATAATTGATAATGTAAAATTATAACTGTATTTCAGTACTTTTTATTTTTACTAATTAGTTTTCTGTATTTAAAAAGTATTATACTTTTAATTTTAATTTGTTAAACTGTTTCTTGCTGTTATAGTCTACAAAAGTTAGAAAATGCTAAATAATAGTAAATTGGTATTGACTAATTTTAACCATTTTACCTTCAATTATATTATAAACTCAATTAAATTTAAGATACTCGGGAAATGCTCATTATAATTCAAGCTTATTTTCAGATACTATGAACCATGTAAAATGTGATGTAGAAACATTGTTTTCAAATGCAGATCAACTGAATTCAAGAGTATTAAAATCTGAGTTTCAAGCTATAATGAAAGAAGGTGAAAATGCTATTAAAAAATCTGGTAAGCAAAACTTGTTTTAAGTTTGTGTATTTGGCCTTTATAGATCTTTATATACTACATAATTTTTTATTAAAATGAAGTATTCACTTGTTTGCATAAGAAAAGGTAACAAAAAAAAAAAAATCAACTTTTTGTGTACACCAAATTTATCAAGAATATTTTTCAACCCATTTTTTGTTAATAAATTAACTCTTTAGTTAATTCTTTAAATTTGTACATCTAACACATAATATCACTAATAATATTTAGGTGAAAAAATAAATCCAAGCATTCAGACATCATTTAGCACTATTTGTCACATTATTTATTTTACCATGTCGATGGTGTTTTATTAAAAGGGCGTATACCACAAAAAAATCAAAAAATGAGTTTTTGGTATCAACAATTTCAGAAAAAATAGGCGCATAATCTTTAAAAATGGTGATTAAAAATATTGAGGATTATTCACTGTATATCAGTTATAAGAAACCTAAAAGCCCTAAGAGAAAAAAAAATATTCATATGGAAAATGTTAAAAGGACGTTTGCCACAAGAAATAATAGTGATTTAAAATAAACCTATTATACTTGAATTCTCGCGTTTTTTTTTAATTTAAAATTGTATTTTTATTATTTAACATATTATGTAACAGTTAACTAAACGTCAGTTGATCAATAATTGATAAAAGTTTGTTTAATTATTTAATTGATAATAATCATACAAGAGGAGCAAAAATCATACAAAATAACCACTGTTAATCGTTATCAATGATACATTGTTTTAAAATAATTATTTATTTATTCAATATATGGACAAGAGTCTTATTACAGTTAAAAATGTGTACAAACATTTAGTTAGAAAGAACAAAATACAGAATTATGACTAAGACCGGATTTAATTGAAATTGCAACTTTTTATTGATACCAAGTAAATTAAATTTGATCAAATATGTATACGAATCGGATTAATTATAGTCTTTCTATTTAATTTATTAATGCAATTTTTGTAAATTTCAACAATTTTACAATTTTTGCAATTATTGCAATTTTGTATACTTCTTTTGATAAAATATACAAATTATTATTTCTAAAATAATTTTAAAATAAAACTAAAACTATGACTTACATTTTTAAATGTATTTAAATGTATTTTAGCATTTTTAAAATTATATTTATCCGGGTTATCCACAAAATTCACAAATTTAGAAGAATCAAATAATCAATTACTTAATATTGTAAACATATTTAGTGAAATTGAAAATATTTTGATAAATATTCCTAGTCCCAATAGGAAAATAGTTAAAGATAAATTAAAATATGCCTTAGAAAAAAATGAAGGATATAAAACAATTAAAACTTACCCTAAGGTTATAACAAGAAATCAAAGTGTTAATTTAGATATAACACCAACTTTTTTAAATTATTTTAAATATGCATCGATAACAAGTCTAGATGTTGAACATACTTTTTCATTATATAAACATATTTTAAGTAACAGACGATACAATTTTCAAGAACATGATTTAGAGATGTATATAATTATTAATTTTAATTAAAAAAAATGATATATTTTGTAAATTTTATATTAATGCCCATAATATTATTTAAGCAAGTAATTAATGAATATATTTGATATGATTTTACTATATGATTTTAATGTATTTTTCATTGCAATTTCAACATATTTATATTGCAATATTGATAAATTTTTAATGCAATTATATCCGGTCTTTAATTATGATATAACCTATTACTGTTTAAACTAATATAATAAGAAAAATCTTTAAGTATGTTGTATGTAGTGATGTGGGTTTGTATTATACAGTGGTATAGAACTGTATTATACATATGGTATAAAATTATTTTATACAAACAGTATAAAAAAAAAAAACCGTTATTTTAGTAACTCAACTATTAATTTTTTAGTTATACTTATAGAATGGATCTCCAATAAAGTACACTATTATTAAAAAAATTAAAAATATGCAATATTATTGTAATTGTGTTAATTTAGAATTCAGGTGTTAAAAATTACTAAAATCAATTTATTGTACCTACTATTATAATATTCAAATATTTTAAATATATAGGTACAATGAGATAGTATATAACTATAGAAGTTTTAAGTATAGATTTATTTTTATTTCTATTTAAAAAAGATGTATTTCTATGTATAACATACATACGTATGTTATCTATATCATAATTGCAAATCGATACCATGACTAAATATTAATTTGGTGAATAATTTTTGTATTATGTGTTTTATTAATTTTTTCTATTTTTTTATCCATTTTTTTCATTTATTCTATTTTAAAATAATTTATGTTTCATAATTAACAATGGGATTATAACCTTTGTCAAATTCCTTATAACTTAAGGTAGTGCAAAGTTCTATATGGTATAATATGGTATTATACAAAAAATAAATAAAATACCGTATTTTAACATCTTTAGTTGTATGTATATAATAAAGATAAAAGACAGGTTATATAAAATCAAAGGAATACATGTCACCAGCTACCTTCAAGAGGTTTTCCGGGGAATTTAAATTATAATTTATATTAGAAAATACAGGGTAAAATGGTTTCAGAATTCTGATATTAAAGTTATTTATTTTTAAATTAATCAATGATAACAAATCTAGACAAACAATAAGGCTTAATAATAAATTATGAAGAAATCTAAAGAAAAGCTCAACAATGTCTGTACCGTTATCAGCAATAACGAATTGAGTATCTGAACTGAAAATCATTTCTTAGTCAGAGTTGGAAACATTTTACTAAAAAATCAATATCATTGTTTGTATTGTGATTTCCAATAACTCGTTATCAGTAATTTAATTTGAAATCACAAAAATGTTCGCAAATAAACATTTGAATTGATGATTGCAGAAACGCCACAAGTCACATATTTTACTAATATCTCAATTTCATAAAATATGTGACTCCTGACGTTTCTGCAATCATTGATTAATCTAGTGTATCAATATCTATATTAAATAATTTACATTATGTAATTTTACATACTAAAAATAATAGAATAATTTAAAAACATACATGTAGGTATGTGTTAGGATTTGAAATACCCATTTATTAAAATCATTCATAACACAATAACAGTAAAATGTAGGGTTAATTATCAACCAAAACTATTTTAAATTATAAATAGTGTATTATATTGAAGATTAAAAAAAAAAATTGACCTAGTGTAATTATTATTAATAGTATCAGAAAAAATGTATCACTTGGGTTTTAATAACACTTTAACTCTGATGAAGAGTTAATACTATATTTTAATTTTGTTATTTTTTAGAAAATAAAATTCAAGCAGCTAACCAAATGCAAAAACTTATGACAAAATATTTAAATCGATTAGATCACGAACTACAATCATTTAAAAAGGAATTAGACACTAATAATAGTGGCATCACTGAACTTATTGAAAAAAGTAAAATTGACTACATACTTATCTATTTTTATTTTTAATTATTTTCGTAATATTATTTTAATTATAGGAGTTTTGGATTCAGAAGAAGGCAACTATACCAATGAAAAAAAAAATAAGTATCAGCCTAAACGATATATTTTTGAAGGTAGGTAATTATTGCATTTGCCTAGAAAAGCTTCATGCATGTTTCTCTAGTTCCTGATTTTAGTGACATAATATTTATTTATATTTACTTAATTATCGTGTAGTTTATATTGATATTTAACAATAACATACTTATTGACAATGTTTTATTTAAGATAAATACAATTATGTTTATTTTATTTTTGCTTTATTAATTATAAATACTTCTGGATTTTTTAACCTAAGTTAGATTTATATTTATTGTCATCAATGTAACTTTATATGCATTTTCCAAAAATATTTTTTTTCTTTTATTATTAAATAATCATTGTTATACCTAAAACATCAAAACAAATCTTATATTGAAATATTTATAAAAAAAAAAATTTTTTATAGAATATATTAAAGATTTATCTTTATTATTTATATGTAAGTTATCCCTACATAATTTGTTTTTCTATATTAATTTTTATGTCATTGGACAGTAATAAACAAAAAAAGAAAAATTCAAAAAGCAGAAAAAAAAATTACCGAACTACGCCGTACTGATTGAATTGACCTAACAAAGACCGTGCTCACGTATTGACTAATATAATTTCGTATTTTTCAAAATAATGATAATCAAATTAACTAGATAGGACACATACATATATATTAAAGTAGAAGCCACTTATTAGGAACATTTTTGGATCAAGGTGAAATATGTCATATAACTGTATGTTTCTAATAAGCGTTTTATTTATTATAAAAAAAATGTAAATGCTAAGTAAAATATGGATTTATCGTTATCTGTTGTTTTGCGTCGAGTAACTTTATGATCATGGTTTCGTAAGAATAATATTGCCCATAGCCTTTTTCCTCCGCACGATGCAAGGCTGTTCTACTGAGAACACTTAGAGCTTCTACAATTTCTTTACTTCATGAGGATACCTCACTTTTTTCTTCTTCATCGTCAGTGACAGCATGTGTAAAATTGTTTGAGAATTCATAACCATATTACAGATTTCTTCTGTTGGAATCTCTGTAACATCAAGGTGTGAGTGAGTCTACATTGATTCAATTTTCGTACACTTCCGACAGTTAGACTGGTTTCGATTGTAACAACAGAAGATAAAGTATATTGTAATTACATACAACACATTGGTTATCGTCAAATAACCAGAATTTTTCGATGACTTAGTACCTTATTGTTTCAAATAGTGTTGTTTTAATAATCCAATATGTGACTCATCATGTTCCATCGTCGTCTTGTTCTGATGGCTTTGTTTTCAAAGACACCGTCGACTCTTTGTTTCTGTCTCTGAGATTTACCGCGGAGTGACATAAGGGAAAAACAAAACGATTACTATCAGGCATACTTTAATTATAGAATGGCTATTGGTTCACACTAACTATCGATGGGGACGGAAACGTAGCGCAGTGGTTGAACGTTCACCGGCAGCGCGTGGGTATCACGAACAAGTTTGGGCGCACCTTTAAAGTTCGAACAAAAACGAGATCGGCACATATTCAGCTAACACACACAATCTGAGACACAATCAAAAAAGTACGAGCAACACCGAATTCAAACGAACCAGCCCATAACACCACATACTTACTACTTAGTATGGATATTTATTTAAGTATGCCTGGTTACATAAATTAAATACTGGAAGTAATCATCAATAAATGATATAAAGAATAAATTGATGAAACGTTGCAGGTCTTGCATTCGGAGAATAATTTTAAGTAGGAATTCTAATTATACCACAGTATCCACCGATCATTAACATTCCATTTTTTTGTTTTTTTGTTTTACGATAAGTAGGTATTACCAATGATTTTAGTGATGGGAATAATCGAATGAAATAATCGAATCAATTCGATTATTTTAAAAATCGTTCGAATAATAAAATAATCGAATAAAACATTCGAATGATAAAATTAGTAGTAAAAATCATGTTATGGTAAAAATAATTGAATGCTTTTCTTTTCTCACTTTTACTTTATTACGTTTAATTGATTCCAATTTATTTATTTTGCTTGCATTTATTTTTGTTTTATCTAAAGAATATTTGAAGAAAAACATCTTGCACACCTTAACCCTATTATAGAAACTGAAGAACAATTAGATTCAGATGTATTATCGGTCGGTCCTTCTATTAGTTCTAATTTACAATCAGAACATTCAGGTTCTAATACGAGTTCACAGCACCCCTGTACTTCACCTATACCTAAACGTTCTCGCCAATTAAAATTCTTTGGTTCGATTAGAGGTAATGAATTATCCGAAGTAGAAAAAAGTTCGATAGACAAAAGTCTAATCAAAATGATTTCTGTTAATTATCAACCACTTTCATTAGTTGATAATATTGGTTTTTTGGAGTATTCAAAAAAATTACAGCCTTTGTATAAGCCGCATAGTAGGAAAACGTTAACTATGAAATTATTACCCGATGAATATAATAAGATAGCTACCATTCTTAAATCTATGTTAAGAAGTGTCAACAATGTTTCAATTACGACTGATATGTGGACATCGGATAGCAATAGGGCTTATTTAACAGTTACGGTTCACTTTGTATTTAATGATCGTTTATATTCGCCTGTTTTAGCAACAAGAGAAATTATTAAAATACATACTAGTGCAAACATTGCTACTTCAATTTCAGCTATTTTAATTGAGTGGGGTATTTTAGACAAAATAGTAACAATAGTTTCAGATAACTGGCCGAATATAAAAAATGCGATAAATGAACACCTTCATAAATATCATCATCCATGTGTTGCGCATACATTAAATTTAATTGTTAATGATGCAATTAATTCAAATGAAGAGTTACTTAACGTGCTAAAATAATGCCGAGCGTTGATTGGCCATTTTAAACATAGTGTTTCCGCGTCTACAAAATTAAAAGAAATACAAAACCAAATGAATGTTCTCGAATTAAAAGTCAAGCAAGACGTTAGTACTAGATGGAATTCTAGTTTGATAATGTTAGAAAGACTAATTCAAATTAAAGTACCGTTATCTGTCGCAATAACATTTCTTCCTCATGCTCCAAATTTCTTAACCGCATTAGAATGGGAATTAATATCTGACTGTCTTCTGTTATTAAAACCTTTTGAAATAATGACAGTTGAGTTATCTGGAGAAAATTATCCAACACTATCCATAGTTATTCCTTTGATACGAGGACTTCAATATACATTGAGAAACAAAACGACTACAACAGCAGCAGGTACTTTATTTAAAAAAACAGCAATCAAAGTTTTAGCTAGGCGTTTAGGGATATTAGAATGCAATAAAATAGTAGCAAAAGCTACATTTTTAGATCCAAGATTTAAAAAGACAGGATTTGGGTTAGTGGATAATGCAAATAATACGGAGAAATGGATAACAGATGAAATCAATTCTATAATGAAAAATACTCAAGAGAACGAAACATCTAATATGCCTATCAACGGAGAACCTAATTTATTATGGGAACACTTTGATAGTAAAGTTTCCCAAATTAGAACAACCTTATCAACTGGAATCTCGGCTTCTCTCTTAATACGGCAATATTTAGAAATGCCCTATTTAAATCGAACAAAAAACCCTTTAGACTTTTGGAAACAACACAAAAATACATTTCCTGAACTTTATTCGCTCCAATTAAAATATGTATGTGTTCCCGCGACTTCTGTTCCGTCAGAACGCGTGTTTTCAAAAACGGGATAAATAACGAACGACCGTCGGAATAGACTTTACCCCAAAAATTTAGATTATATTGTATTTTTAAATAGTAATGTAAATTTAAATTTATAAATTAACAGTTTTAACTGACATTTTTTTTTCTCAACGCAAGATGCAGTTTCCAAATTATTATTAATATATTTATTTTATATATTATTATTATTTAGTTATTAATATTGTATCAGTTTGAAATATTTTATGTTATGGTATTTATTTTATATTTTATAATTAAATACTTAAATTAAATATTTGTTCTTTTATATTTTTTATTCTTTTCCTAGATACATGTTACAGATAATTCACTAAAAAAAGTAGTTTGTAGGTTAATAAATATGGGTTAATATGTATATGGTTGGCACTTGGTAATACTAATTTAGACTTTAGTATTATACTATTAATATTATTATTATTATTTGATTATTTTATTATAAATTATTTAGAATATATACTACCTATATAATACTTACAACATTATAATTTGTGATAAATATTATTAATAAATATTAAATATTATTTTTACTCTGACTGGTGAGTACTGAGTATGAGACAATAGTCTCATAATAAGTGTAATGATACCTGTATGCGCCTAAGCATTCATATATTTTTATAAAATTGAATGTAGGTACAATTAAATAATTATAATATTCGATAGCCATTAAATATAATAATAAGTCGTAAGTATTTAAGATAAGACATTACATACACACGTACACACATACACGCGCACACACAAACACACACAAAATCATATATAAGGAGTATAGTTTCTTTTAGTTAGGGAGATGCGTTCTTGTTATCCTTTTGTATAGACTGTCAAAGGTGAGTATAAAAGACTACGCAGATTGTCTATGCAGAAAGACATAATTAGTTTTAAAACGTTCCGTAAAAATTTAAAATACGTTGTAAGGTGAGAAATCAGTTAGCCACAAAAGTTTTTATCAAGACACCTCCGAACGTATTATGATGTATTCCGGTTGACTCGTTGTTTTGCCATCTCCATACCCGTTTTTGCGTAATTGACCGAAATTGCACGCTATTATTATAATTATGTCCACTGTACGTGGGTACCGGTTTATGCAAACAAAAATAGAGTGGTCGAGGCGAGAGACACCACGACTGTGTCTACGGGTCTGTCTTCTTTTTTTCTTTGAAACAACAACATAGGCGGCTGAAAAGATTTTTCCAATGTGTCTCCGGGACCACGTCTCAAGACACGGGCGTAGGATGATATGAATTTTTGGTTTGTATTATTATTATTATTTATTATTTTTTTACTTTGGCCGGTATCCCCCTTTTATTGTGTA